ATATGTGTGTGTATGAAATAAAGGAAAACTGACTTTTGACACGAAGTTTCTGCGGTCGCGGGTGTCTTTGATATCTGCGTTTTCCCCAACACCAGTGCCGTGCGTGCCGCATGGAGCTTTCAATGGACTCGGCCGCTCGGCGAAAATTACGGCAAATTATCTTTACCAAAAAAATTAAGAATATCCATATTTGGTTTCTCGATTCCTTGAAATGCGTAGATATGTGCATAGCTTCCGTTTTTCATGGGCATAATTAAAGAAATTTGGTTCGAAAATGCGTTTCGTATTTTTCCAAGATGGCGCATGTTAGCTGCAGAGGGAGGTCAATTGGGGTCATCGGAAGACTCCACTGTTATGGAGGTAGATACACCGAGTTTTATTTAACTTCATTAGCGTCAAATGACGTAATTACATTATGAAAACATTTGAAATACATTACTACAATTAATTTTAGATGTAAATTTAACACTGTAGTGGATATTTTAGAAAAGATATAAGTCTGAAAGGAAAAATTTTCTGTTGACTACCACATTGGCATAATGGTAGAGGCAGACATGCCACGCGGGGAGAAACCCAAGCCGTAAACAAAGGAGAGTTTTCGCTAAGTTTTCATGTTCAAAAACGACCAAAAACGGAAAGTAACTGGCAACTGACGAACAATTATTTTGCTGTTAACTAAATAGACAGCATCTTGGTACAAAATAACTTATTTACGTGGTTGGAATTCGCTGTGGCGTATGTCGGTCGCGCGAAGCAAGTGTTCACCAAAGAACAAAAACATGGCGATGTCGTTCTCTTCCACTTTTCGACTAACAACAACAACTACTAGTAACGTGGCGATTGCGGAGAAACGATGGCGAAAGCGGAAAGACGGACGCCAAACTCATTCCAAAAGGTGGAAGTGATTCGACTGGCAGAGAGAGTGAGAAGAAATCGCCGAAAGCTGAGCTTAGATTAAATGATTTTGCAGTCGATAGAAATTTGTTTGGAGTTGAAAGTTTGTTGCTTGATTTGCTTTCTTTTCTTTAGCCACATGTAGTACTAGTATGTACACAAGAACAGTACTCTGATGTCCCGATTAAACGTACCGGTACGTTTATTTTTTTCGGCCCGAACGTCCACCCGGTACATTCTTATTAGGGACGGTACGTTTATTAATTTTTGGGAAAAAAATTGGCCGTACGTACCGCACCATCAGCAAGTGGCCGGCGGCCGCAAAATTCGGCAACACGTACGCGTTACAGATAAATATTTGGTCCATGATAGCGGCATTTCCCATGAATATAATGTATATTATTTATTTTTCGCCTGCTGTCCACTTTTAAGTCCCAAAACGTCTGAAAAAGCAAAAATTTGCCCACAAAACCGAAGGGGAAGGCGAGTAGCTAATCGACGTATTTAGCACACGGCGGCCGCAAGTCCTTGTCAAAATCGGCAACGCGGCAGAAAAATGCCTGGTCCATTTTAGCGATATTTACCATGAAAAAAACGTATGTGGTTTATTTTCCCTCTGGTGTTAGTTTTTAGGTCCCGAAACCCCTAAAAAAAGTAGAAATTTGCCCACAAGACGGACGGCCGACGTGGGGAGGGCGCCTAGCGCCTGAGCAGCATGACCCGTAAAAAGTCAAAGGTCATAGGGCACCCATATTGCGCAATCACCGTAAAAGCGCCGATTTAGCTAATTTTAGGGCGTTTAAAATTGATACAATCACATTATCGATTTTTAAAAAAACAATGAGATGGAAACCAATCAAAATTTTATGCTGAATAATATTTTTTTTCTTCAAAAGTTTTTTTCTTCAGAAGTTTTTCTTCTTCAGAATCCAGACTTTGACCAGACTAGACAATGTAACGTTACCATACCAAATAATTATTATGTTGAAATGGATTTTGTTGTAGATATACTCATTAAACCCCTATATTTGTACTTAATTGGGCTTGATTTTCTATCTCTTACTGAGTTAGTCAGATTTTCAACTCAAGTTGCAGGAGAAGGCTTAGCAAAGTGCATTTCAGAAGTGTAAAATGCAATAGCTTCTCCTACGGATTTTGTATTTCCCCAAAACAAGTACAATATATATACTCATTAATTAAAGTGATGTATACTCACTAATTAAATGTAACAGTGAAAGATTTGCTCATATATTGGTATTGAAATAAAGAGCACATTTTAGTATCATGGACACACAGTTCACCTGTCAATTTGGGCATTTTCCGGGGGGGTACGTTTATTCCGGAGGGTATGTTTATTAGACTTTGAAGATTTGTCCAGGGGGTATGTTTATTCCGGGGGGTATGTTTATTAGGGACACGAGAGTAGGAAGAAAACGACTTCACTCAACTATTGGGGGGCAATTTCATATGAGCATTTTTAAGTTGACTCAGAATTTTTATTTTTCAAATCAGAAAAAAATGAAGAGGCGAATCAGAGAACGAATAAATTAAATTGGTGTGGCCTTACCTGCTGTAGCACTAGTCTGTGTGGCGGGTGCAGTCCCCGGTGTGTTAGTTCTCAGGGCTGTGCTGGGTGCGTAGGAGGGTGCAGTCACTTCTATCGTGGTGACGGGAACGGCGTTCTTCTGTGCCGTGGCAGCGGCCGCGAGCAGCCCGGCGGCGTAGTCAGGCGTGGCGGTGGCAGCCTCCTCCTTCTCCTTCTCCTCCTTCTGCTTCTGTTTCTCCTGACTCTCCTCCTGCATTCTCTTCCTCCTCTTGGCCTGACCTGGAGTATGGAAGGACAGGGCTTAAAGTACTTTTTTCTGAATATTACCTGCATCACCACAGGTACATTAGTGCGTGTTTTCGCCAGGCCTTTTGAGCATAGAGGCCCCTACTAGTATGTGATTTGGACCCCCTATGCTGTGATTTGGACCTCTATCCTGTCTTTCAACCAGCATAGGGGTGTTTTTGGGGAGAACATTAATAAATCTTGCTAAAAACGAAAATATAACTTAAGAATTAAGCTACAGTCAAACCTGTACTAGCGGTCACCTTTGTATAGTGGTCACTCGGCCATAGCGGTCAGTTTTTGCCGGTCCCTTGAATTTTTCCCATTGACGTAAGCATTAAAAATCGTGTCTATAGCGGTCACTGTTCAACGCGGTCAGCGGTCACCCCATTCCGGTCCCGCCGGCATGTCAACACCGCCGATAGCGGTTGCGGCTGGCCGTAACCCGCCAAGCACCACGGCCATAACACCACCCCACCTTGGGCTACGACCGTTATGAGCCTTGTGATAATTTTCCGATCGCTACATTACTAAAATGTGAACTGAAAATTATATATATATATATATATATATATATATGTGTGTGTATAGAAA